GACAGTGACACGACAGATCATGACTGCGAGTGCAAACCATTATTTGCTCAGTCTACTGTTCTTGCTAGGCACAAAGATATGACTGTTAGAGAGCTTATGGAGGCTGATGCTATAAATAGTTCCGGCACGTGTTGTGTCAGTGTGGCGTCAATTGACTTGGCGGATAAGGAGTTGGCGTACTTGCGGTCCGTGGCAGTGCCACGGATTGGTTGAGATGTGGTGCGGTGACGCAGTGTGTTTCTACGCTGAGGTTCTTGAATTAAATCAGTTGAAAGTTAGCACTCTGTGGTGTATGTCCTTCCTATGTCCCCGTCTTCAAAGCACAATCATGTTTTCTAACGTACCGTACCAACTTGCCCAACAATCAGCACTTGTTAAAAAGTGCTATTGTGTTTTAAGCAGCTCGCACCGAATATTTTCTTGAAATACATAGGTTCATGGAAATTATTATGTAGATGTTGGCAGACAGTCATGGTGAGGCCAATCTTTAATGCCAAGTGGTCCACTTATTCAGAGTTAATTGAGTTTGTAAATATTGTAGGTTGCAAATTAAATTTTTATGGGACGCGATGGGCACAATCATCCGTAATGACTAGCTCTACCTAGGGGAACTTCATACATTTACTACGGCAAGATGGTTTCGAAAAACAAAGTATTTAGTTTATTCAACTCCTGCACTAACCTTGTCTTTAGAAACTTTTTATATTCTTTGCGATGCTGAGATAAGATTCTGGAAATAGTTTTTCTAAAGCAACTCTAGATATTTCCCGTTCATCATTTTTCTCGCAAAGCATTCGAGAGAGCCAAACCCTGTAATGTACGGAGGGAACTCACAGAATGATGCGACTGACAGTTTGGAACATTCGGCACTGTAACAGTAATAATGACATGTCACTTATGTAATGCTCATTATCGCAGATCAAACTGCTTTTTCCGTCTACACTCATTTTCAGTAGACTCATTCAGCGAACTCCCACCTGAGACTGCAGCGCTGGGTTCTGCAAAGTAATTTGAATGAATATAGATGCAACAGGTTTCTTTGAGCGTGCGTCTAACACATATTCTTCATATTGAATCTGCTAACTGTATTCATGATCATGTCCATAATTGTATCCACATTCCAGCTTATTTTTATTTTGACATTTGAGTTTTCTTCAGTACTTTTCTCAACATCTGTGCTTGCTGAGCCGTACTCAAGTCCATACATCTTGTCTTTCGCTATTACATTAATATATAAAACTGTTGATGCCGAGTGAGAATTCAAGGTACCGAATCTGTCGTGCGAGCTAAATAAGAACCAATAAAAAGCTCTACAAAGGAAATTTTGTTAAAGGATGCTGTATGGGCATTAGAATAGCACATGCCATGCTAAAAAAAAAATACAAATTCTTGTTAGGTATGTGAGGATGACAGTGCTGTGCTGTTTCTGATGTGTCACAAAAAAAAAATCAGTGCCATACAGTGTTTTTTGTGGAAGTACAAACTGTTGAATTCGAAGCCCAGAAGTTTTATTCAAGAATGTTCCTTAATACAAATGTATTTAGAGATCTGAGCCACTGACTCATACATGACTATGTGGCAAACATTCATTTTCATGTGGAATATAGTTTACAAGGTCTAGTCTGCATTGATTTATTGCATTCATGCTGAAACTAGGAGGGGTTCTCTGGGTATGAATAAAGAGATAAACATTTCTTGAAATCAAAACATTTGAGAACGGACAAAAGGAAGGATCTGAGAACGGTATCTTAGATTCTCTTCTTTTTCTTACAGTATCTCTAATGTTCACTTTATTTCACCTGATGCATTTAGTTTTTAGCGCAGCTCTTAGCACCCGTTTCCGCGTTTCGCGGCGTCGCTGTCGGCGTAACCGCCCAACTAAACTTCGCAGGAAATTGAATTAATGTTGGGGTCATGTGACGTTAATATTTCCGCTAAGTCTAGCTGAGAAACAGAATTTTTTTATGGATGACGTGACACGGTCATGCGACGTCATTTTCCCCGCTACTTTTAGCGGAAAAACTGCATTTGTGTTGAGGTCATGTGACATCAATTTCTGCGCTAAATTTAGTGGGAAACTTAATCAGCTAAATTTAGTGGGGAAATTTTCCCGCTAAATTCAGGGAAATTTCCCTCTAAATGGGAGGGGAGCAAAAGAGGAGGAAGGGAGGGGGAGGAGGGGCATACCCTCCCATCCTCCTCTTCAAGATCTGTGCTCTAATTTCACGTTACAGAGAATTGTAAACGTCTCATATTTCATCTCATGTTTATTCAACTTTTATATTGCAGGTGCGCTCGCAGCAAAAATCTGGGTTGTGCTGATCCTCTACGCACAAGTTAGGAACTCCTGAGTGGCAAGAGTGGGAGTTTGGTCTGACAGCTCAAGGGACACCATTGTTCAGTATTGAATTTTTAATAATCTTCTTTTGAGCAAAGTTAAAGGGGCACTGACACCCCAAAGGTCGTATTTATTTTTATTGTCTAAAACGATGCAAGTTGCAGTCATAGACACGCAAAAAAAACCGCATCGCGAAAAAAAATTTTCCCGCGCGCGCGCGCGCCTTTTTATTTTTGGCGTTTGATTTTCCCGCCTCTCGCCTCCTTGCTTCTTTTGATCGGTGACGTCAAAAATCAGGAAATTTAGAAGCTTTGTAGGCGACATCTCTATAACATTTAATTACGGCAATCCTAAAACATGTTTTTTAACGCAATTGCGAACGCACTACGGCCCTTCTTTTTGAAATACCAAAAATCGGGAGTTCGTTGTGGTGCCGTCTCCTGGATTTGTAACCTCCAACGGAAAACAGGCGACACCGCTCAAAACCGGTCCGCCTCAACGCGGGCGCTCGCTCCTTTCCTCCTCGCTTTGGGTCGCCATGGCAACAGCCGGGAGTGGTGAAAGGAAGTCGACTCTCAGGTCTCCGCGATTTTTGACGTCAAGGCACCGGCGCCGATCGCGCGGGAACTTCGAATTCGGCATTTGGAAATTGTTTTTTTACTTCACGAATACTGAATTCCCAAATCTCAAATTTTGAGGGTAATGTCCCGGCATCGTTTTCAATCGTTTCGGATAATAAAAAAAAATATGATTTTGATGTGTCAGTGCCCCTTTAAGCTTTGCTGCTTGCAGTTCTTCTAAAAATAAATACCTGCAACCAAATTTACCAGGTCACGACATTTCGCCTCTGCTCTTAGTGGTCCTGGTGAGCCTCGGATAAGAGCTTACTGGTGTGCAAACATCATGCTTGTTTGAAACCACTCACTGATGTAGAGACTCGCTGACATCCAGCATTCCAATGAAACGCTGGATGTCCACAAGTCTTTCTTGGACAATGCAAGCGGGGAAGGAACCATACAATCGTATCGTATCGGGGGACATTCTACAGAGTGTTTTTTTCTATGTTTTACAGATTTTTTTTAAAAAAGCCGTAGAAGCTACATTTACGCGGTCTGTGCACGTGAGTTATATGGCCAGGGCGGCATAGTATAAAAGGCTGATTTGTAATGATCCGTCGGCTTATTACAGAGATGTGCCAGACTTCTTTCAGAAAACTAGATGGAGGTTCATTCTAGCGTAGTTTTATCCCGCGAATCTGAATATCCCGTTCGTTTTCCTCAAAGATATAACTAAATGTGAGAAAACACAAAAAAACATCCTACCAACAGTGACATCGTAAGAAGACCTTTCGGCCGCCAAGCGTGTGTCGCTTAAGGGCCGAGCGTCCAATCGCAAGTTTTCTAGGTATATTCTCCGGCATTGGCACCAGTCGTGACACATTTTTCTGCCCTTTTAAAAAATAGCATGTGCGTGCATAGCTTTGATAGGCGCTGAAGATGCGTGAACAAAGATTTTGAAAGCTGCTCTTGTGACGTCGCTCTCTAGGGAAGTGCTTTCACAACGCTTTAAAAATGACTATGCAGCCTCGATTAATTAAATTAGCAAATAATTTTGATATTTGAGATTCTGGAAGTCGAATGAAGAAGATTTAAAAGTGTTTTCTCAAATACAAAACTGCTTCAGCCTCTCTCTAAGTATAGTATGTTCGTGAAATCTTTAATCGGTGAAAATAGACCCATGGTTCCAATTAGAAACTTGCTAAACATCACCAAAACACACTAAATCAATTTTCTTTGTAAAGATATAAGACAAGAGTAGCATTTTATGGCGTTCTAAAAGATGGTCAATTTGGACGCGTTTCCAGACTTTGGTTTCTTACCAGAGCGCATCTTTGCACCTGCGGTCCAGCTGCCCGGTGGCCGCAGTGCGAAGCCGCCCCCTCGCCTCCCTCGTAGGATGAAGGGAAGCAAGGCGCACGTGTGTTGCGTGTCTAAACCCCTGGGGAACAGGACCGTGGGTACAGAGATGAGCTCTGATAAGAAACTGAAACCTAGAAACTAGTCCAAATAAAGCTTTTTTACAGAACGCATAAAACGCTACCCCTGCATTATGTCCTTCTAAAAAACTTGATTTTGTGGTTTTCAATGACTCAGCAAGTTTCTAATTGAAACCAAATTTTCATTTTCACTAATTAAAAAGTTGATTAACAAATTGGATTTAATTATCTAACTGATCGTTACGACTAGGTCCCTATACTACGTACGCCTGGCCGTACCTCGTCTGCACAAACCGCATTAATTTAGCTTTCATGACCTTTCTAAACATATATGTAAATCTTAAAATTAAATCGCCCTGTACAACAGTGAAAAGGCGAAACCAACCAACATTGTGGAGCCATATGGCTCCACCATGCTGGTATCGCCTTTTTGCTGGTATAGGATGTCCCATATTACGTTATGCATGTATGGTTCCGTCCGCCTTAATGGTTCCGCCTTAATCCACTACGCTGGTATAGGATGTCCCATAATACGACACGCTTGCATGGTTCCGCCCACCTGTATCGTTCCGCCTTATTCCACTATACTGGAGCCGCCTTTTTCGCTTGTATAGGATGTCCCATATTACGGTTTCGCTTGTATGAGCCTTTTCCGTCATCTTTCCATCATCGAGATTTTCCAACAGGGAGGATTGACACTGCAATGCTCAGTTTGAGAAAGTGCTGGTAGTAGCGCTTCTCCATGTGGTCTTTTAGAACCGCAGGACCGAAGTACAAGAGGAAGTTTCGTAGCTCAGTGGCCTTCCATCTCTCTAATTCATGAAGACTCCGGGGCTTCCGAGCCATCTCCCGAGGGGTGTGTCTCTGGAGTTTCATGAGCATTGTTGAGATGCTAGTCTGTGCACGTGGTGGGAGCTTTGATCGATGAGGTCGTCCCCGCACCCAATAGTGAAGTAGAAGCCTCCGCATAACGCCTAGGCAGACTAAATGCATATAGTCGAGGGGAAATTGGCTTACCATGCCAATCTGTAGCTCGACCAATGGGGACTGTCGATGATGGTGCCCTTCCTGATCCTGCTTTCGAAACGACTCGTCTGTTCGTAGGGGGCTGCTGACTTCTGGAAGAATTACTTTCCGGCAGCTTTCAGAGAAGGTGCCTTCTTGGGTGCACTTTTCACAACTGAAGTATCCCCCATGGCCCTTGATGCACTTCAGAAATGCCCTTGCGGGCGCATCGCAAATGAACGCATGCACTCGAACTACGCACTCCTTTCCGCCCTCGGTCACGTGTTCTTCCAGCAATGTGCTTAACTCCGAAATGAAATCGGTAAGGTAGTCATCCAAGTTCTCCGGCTTCTTGTCTCCAACAAACAGAGCTATGACGAAAGGTTCAGGATCGCAGCTTTCGACGACAGATGCAAGAATGGGCCAGAACTGCTTGCTGGAACTTTTCGCTATAGGCAGGCCATCAACATTGATGAGCAACGAAATGGTGTCTCCAGTGATGCTGCCTGAGCTCATCATTCGTTTTAGTGACGATTCGATTCCGAAATAGTGGTAGAGGCCGGACGCTCCCATGTTTTTCACATTGCAAGATCTTGGTGTCCCCATTAGGCTTCTTGCGTCACTAGGCAGCTCCGGGTGATACTTCTTCAATATCTTTAAAAGCTTGCTAAGATGGGATGCGCAGGCTTTGGTCTCACGTGCCCAGGTGGCCAGCTCGCTTGCCAAAGTAAACTCATCTGCACTTGAGATTGGCAAATGAGTTTCAGTTTCTTCGGAAGCTGATGTGCTCGCGCAAGGATCTCTGGGATCGTCGACTTGCGGTGCGCTCAGACCCTCCCTGGCTCCGTCACTGCTGTCGTCTGATCCGTCAACCGCAGAATTTCCATCGCTCTCGTCCGGAGCAGACTTAGAAAAAATGTCCGCAAGATGGTCGCGCACGTTTTCGGCAATAATTCTTTTCTTCTGTCGGTCGCACACGTCATCAAATGCTCGCCTCTGTCGCTTCATTTTACGAACCAGGAGATCGTTTCCTCTTAGCACCGTTCAATCACAAAGGGATATCATGCATCGCGAGTCGCGCAGTCTGGCGTAACCGAAATCGCGCGCAATCGGCGAACATGGTTGCCCACTTATCATAGTCATTGGTTGCGCTAGAAAATTTTGTCCGGATTTCGTCCGGGTCATAGTGGCAGCGCTTCGCTCTTCAAAATAATAATCACTGTAGAGCCCTCAAATAATTACTCTTGTCTATTATTACCTAACCAGCCTCGCACATTCACGAGCATGTGCGAGGTTTAGGTAATAATGGGCACCCTAAAGCGAAGCTCTGCCACTTACAACGCACCGCCTTGAATTCCGTCTAGGACCGGCACCGAATTCCGGTCCTAGACGGAATTGTTGAGGTCAGATATCGACCTCCAAAGGATCCAAAGGCTCCAAAGGAGCCGTCCCGATTTCGGGTACCCGAGACAGGAATACCCACAAACGTAATATGCGAGATCCCGTCGGTTAAGCAAGTGAGCAGCATCACTAAAGGAAATGAGGTACCGCTACTTACGTTTCACGCAGGGTACGCAGGTGCGTCGGTGCCACAGTGGGATTACGCAGCCTGACCGTTAGGCACTTCGAACCGTAACTACTAGAACTTGTCTTCACGATGTTTCAGAGCCACGGTTGTCAGGTCAGAACCGTGCGAGCCACAATTGTGCGAGCCGCGATACAAACTTAAACTTAGACCGCTTAAACCAAACTTAAACCATACTTGAACCACTTGAACCGGCGGGAACGTATGTTGCCAACCTAAGCCATTGGTCTAAAATAGGCTAAACCAACCGTGTATGCATTTTGTAGTTAATAAATTATATTATATTTTATTTTGTGACTTAAAAGTAGAACACATCAAGAAGAAAATATCTGTAGTGTATAGTATTAATAAATTTACTCATCAGACTTTACCTTATTTACACACCCGACAAACTCACAAAACCAAAGAAAAGAAGTCTAGCAGCACTGTGTTTGTATATTTAGGGTTGTGATGGCGGCTGTTGTGATCTGGTTCTACGGGTTCTACGGAACGATTCTTACTCATTTACGCCTTGCTTTGCTTGTTAACGCTCTAAAAGTAGCGCACACGGATGGTCTTTTTGTGCGGTGCAGTGCGTGTGTTGACCATGGGCTTGCTTCAAGTTCAAAGGTACCCCTTTTCGTCTCTGCCGTGTTTTGGTGTTTGTACTAAGAGATTTACAACGTTTCGTTGGCTCTTTAGAGAGACCGCATCAAACAGTTTCTCAGCATATTTGACGGGATTTCGCACATATGTGTAATACGGTGGTGGAACCTTTCAGCAAAATTATAGTCTTCAGGGATGACGTGCTTGCGGACATGGTTGCAACTTCTGCTGGTCGCCTCTCTACAGAGAGTCGAGCTCCGGGAACACTCCGATGAGGTGCACAATGCTTCTCAACTCCGCGCGGCGGCTTCTCTCACTTCTGAAAGTGCGGACATCCGCTTCATCGCGGTTAGGCCCTGCCTGGACGACTGCGCCGATTGCATGACTCATGCTGATTGCCGGGAACATCTATCGAAATCCCAGGCCGTCGCCAACCTCCCCGAGCTGCGAGAAAGCGGTTTACAACAACGTGGCCGCCCTAAAATGTGACCCTGTGTGATTGGTGGCTCCATGGGAAGTGTGAAGGGCTGTCGCTACTCGCCTACCGATGCTTGGCCTCCTCGCCGGGCACTGGTTTTGTGGCTCATGCCAGCTTCCTCCCTCCGATGACTCGCACCCCGCACCCATATCCACCGGTGTCGTGCCCCTCCCCCCCCCCCCCCCCCCCCCCCTCCCCCCCCTTCCCCCCACGAAACTGCCAGGCCCATCGCCCGGGACACAAAACGGAGTGACGCTAGTAACCCGACGTACTCCTCCCGCACCGAGGAAGCGGCGACACATCGGCATCCGGTATACAAACGCTCTATCCATCAAGAACAAACTCGGACCTCGTTGTCTTGTTTGAAACTTCGCCGAACACAATCTTTGGGGTCTCAGAAACCTGGTTGGATGATACAATATTCGAAGGACAAATTGCTGACACCCAAAAGTTTAGCATCTTCCGGAAAGACAGGATCTCATCGAGAGGGGCAGGAGTTGCCCTGATTGTACTGTCTCAGTTCACATGTGAACGGCGAAGGAACCTCAAACACATAGTTGCATGGATGCCAGCCTCCCCACAGTACCAGCACACATGTGTACATTCCCTACATAGTGCAGTAAAATATATCATACTTCTATCTAATTCAAATAAGGGAAAAGAAAAAAAACTAATTATTTTGGGACAGACATTCATTCTGGCCAAATGAAACAAGTATTATGTTTGCCAATTTCATTCCCTTCCAATCCCACTCTTTATTTAGTCGTAATAAACACCAGAAATGCCCAGATTCATTTTTGATCATTTAGAAAAACAAAGCATGACAAAAAAATTTTCATAGGAAAAAAAAATCTTTTATTTAAAGAGGCACATGTTTTCTATACTTCAGTAATTAATCCACCACCTTCGGGCACCTCTGGAGTAAATCGTAGGGTGATGCAGGTCACTTCAAGAGGGCAAGGGAAACGTTAGCAGGATCAAGCTGGCAAGCGGAGAGACTGACTGTTTATGAAGAAGGGATGAAAGCGCTTTCGTGATACACATCATCACTTCACTTATCCACAAGCTCCGTAGTCTATATAATCACCTCCTCTTCCCTCAGGCCTTCCTGGTAAAGGGAAGTGAATCTATTAATGTGAAACATAAAACAAGTGAAACAAGCACATACTATTTGTGGCTGTCTTTCTTTCAAAAAAGTAGCATAGCACATATTTTAATTTTCCTTGCCATTTTTTTGTATCTTTACGCTGCATTTCATTTAGATCTTACATATAGGTAGAGCCCTGCGTGGATAACAGTTTAATTATCTGCAGACTTTGTATTCGAACCGTATCCGGCAAAACTTTTTACATTATTGTATCCGTATCCGATCTGCATCTGCATACTTTGTATCCAAACTGTATCCGCATACTTTTTACATTATTGTATCCGTATCCGAACCGCATCCGCAAAATGTGGAACCAGATCCGACTCACAATCCAGGCATTCATTGTAAAATAGAAATGACACTTTTTAAGCTGTTTGCTTATCTTTGTACCAAAGAAATCTGGCTCGCCATTCAAAGGAAGTGTCATTTTATCATTATCAGTTTCATCGGATTTATATTAAAAGCGATTAGGAAAAATCATCTCAGTTATGTGATCATCCTAGGAATCCGCGACACTCTGCCCAGAAGGAGCGCACAAAAAGGTTATATATGTTTTTTTTTTTTTTTTGCTTTGTAACACCTATTTTATGCGGACGCATACTTTTGAAGGATAAAAGTTAAAAAAGGGCATACTAAATATGACATTACAGTTCTGTTAA